TTTCTAGCTCATCCCAAATATTCCCCACTATTTTCTAGCTCATTTCTATTATTTTCTAGTTATCCCTAATATTTTTTTAGCTCTTCGCTATTTATTTCTAGCTCGTCCCAAATAATTTCTAGCTCATCCCAAATATTCCCCACTATTTTCTAGCTCATTTTTATTATTTTCTAACTCATCCCTAATATTTTGTAGCTCTTCGCTATTTATTTTTAGCTCGTCCCAAATAATTTCTAGCTCATCCCAAATATTCCCCACCATTTTCTAGTTCATTTCTATTATTTTCTAACTCATCCCTAATATTTTTTTAGCTCTTCGCTATTTATTTCTAGCTCGTCCCAAATAATTTCTAGCTCATCCCCAATATTTTGTAGATCCATCCCCAGTATTTTCTAGTTCCAGCCCCAGTGTTCCCCAGTCATTTGTAGCTCTTCCACAGTATTTTTTAGCTAATCCCTAATATTATCTAGCTCATCCCCAGTATTTTCTAGCTCTACCCTATATATTTTTTATTTCATCCCAAATATTTTCAAACTCATTCCTAATATTTTCTATCTTATCACTAATGTTTTCGAGCTCATCCCTAATATTAATTTTTTCTCATGCCGAATATTTTCTAGCTCACCCCAAATATTTCCTAGCTCATCCCCAGTATTTTCTAGCTCATACGTAATAATTTTTAGCTCGTTCCCAGTATCTTCTTAGCGAACACCGCAACCTCTTGACCTGCGTGGTTTGTGGCCGTGTGTTGATCTTTGCTCTCCCCCCCCCTCCCCTCCGCCTCACCCCCTGTCTACACGAGACACTACGCCCACACAAACACGGCCGCGCACCGTGCAGAAATCTGTGGAGATGAGGACGGAAGGATCAGAGACAACGAGTGAACCCGCCGCCCGTCACTCATCTACATCTTTTTTTTCCCAAACATTTTTCTTCACTATTCATGACGATTGTATTGTTTTCAGTTATTATCAATTAGAAATTTCCATTGATGGGCAAAACTCCAAAAAAAAAAAAAAAAAAAAAAAAAATGAGTCAGAGATTCGCTGTCTAAAAAGTCCAATGCTAATGTTGTTCTCATCAAAGAAAACGGCACAATTTGATAACGTAAAACAAAGTTTTCAAAAGATTCAGAAAATAGTAGCGTACAATTATTTTGTACTCAAAGTCTGAGCAGAGGCTTATAAACTATAAAGTCTGTTCTCTTCTAGATCTAGTAAGTTTGCGCTAAACAGATTTTAGAAAAAAAAGTTGGATCTAATAAAAGTAGAAGTGATTGTCATGATAACTTTTGTTATTATTAACTCTGGAAAATATAGTTTGATGCTGAAATTAACTAGAACTGTGCAATTCAAATTTTATTTCAATTCCAAAACCCAAAGGCTTAGCAATAAGTTAGATCTAGGCTCTCTGGCGGCTTCTAGCTTCTAGCATACTACTACTGATTCTAGACAGGGAATCTAGACTTAGCTATCGTCTGCACTATTCAAAAGCCAAATATATGGTGAAATTGTGAAATGGTGTGGGTTTAACGCCCCTGTCAACACTATTAAATTATTTAAGGGGCGGGACATCCAAGTTTAACGTCCGTCTCCGATAGGACCGAGCCAAGTGGGAAGTTCGTGTAAAGTGCCTTTCCCAAGGACACAACGTCGGACCGAGCTGAGGCTTGAACCCCCGAACCGGCAATCTCACGATTACGAATCCGGTAGCCTAACCACTAAGCTACTGACGCCACCAAATATATGGTTAAATAAAAACAAAACTGGGAATTCTTTTGTCAGTCAGGACATCACAATTGCCATAGCCGCCATAGTTGAATAATGCCAGGCCGAAGCAACACGTTATCAGTTTGCAGGGGAGAGCGGGGATGCCCGGTCGCTGACCAGTTGATTCGGCTTTTGTATACATTTTTACGGACAGCCCTAGATGTATTAGCGTTGTGAAAACTTCAACCTATACAACTCAGACCTCAAAAGATGCTGGAAAGTAATACATTGTAATTCTTGAAGTTTCATAACTTATGTACTGCCAGTAGTCTTTATTTTAAATTGCGATGTAAAAATTGCCTTGTTTTCGTAGGAAAATATTTCCAATTCTACCGAATCGATTTTCACGCGAAGACAGCCCGCCATTTTGAAGTTCTTTCTTTCCCCTTTGAAAAGATGTAGCTGTAGGCAGTGGTAGTGCGATTGGCAAAACTGTCAGTTGTTCAGACCCATCAAAACACGCGATCACAAAAGTCTACGGGGCGTATCGAGGCCGATTCGCCCTGCCGCGTGCACGTTCACTAAACTACTACTACTACTACTACTACTACTACTACTACTACTACTACTACTACTACTACTACTACTACTACTACTACTACTACTACTACTACTACC